AAGTAATGAAAATGGGTGAAAATGATTTTTGTAGAGTTTTGGAATTATATTTGTGTATATTCAAAATTGTTTGCATTGTGTGTTTCATTTTCAAAAAAATTGCTAGAATTAAATGTTTTATCTTAAGTATTAGCATTGTGTAAAATTTGAGGAATATGCTTTGTATAAGGCAGACATTAGGAGTAGTTTAAATTATTTTTGTTGTATTTATGCGGTTATGTTATCTAGAAATAAGTGTAGGGTAATGTAACTGGCTTCTCTATTATCACTTAAATGGTTACCACTTGTGTTTTGAAAGCAGTGAAAAGTATTTAGAATTTTTCCTTCCATAGTCAAGAAAAATTCCTTTATGAGGGGAGTTGTGATAAGGTCGCATAAATCTACGACGAATGATTTCAAATTGCGAATTCAGAGTGCAATATAATGTGAAATCACGGACTAATAATTATTTAATTGTTATTAAAATAATATAAGTGAAAAAATAGTTGTATTAAATAATATTAATTGGGCTAACGAGCTCGAGACACGTAGGCTGTAACAGCTTTAATATTATTAAAATCTTGTAGTTTAAATAATTTAAATAGATGAACATTAAGGTATTTGTGAATGGCAATATTTGAAACCAGACTCGAGTGCCACGTGCGACTCTCGCACGAAGAATGTAATTTATTTTTAAATGTTAGAATATGTTTTCTCTTCTTGTTTGTATGTCGCCATTTTTTTGAGTGTTAAATAAAAGTTATTGCTGTGTTCCATCATTGGAGTTGCTTCATATTCGCCAAAGAAGTATTACAGTCTTAATTATTTTGGAGGCACCGACCGAGATCGAATAATCGTGCGTATTTTTATTTTATTAGTTCATCACTGAACATAATATTAGTGATACCAGATTATTACTTCCTGTTAATATAGAATTGCTTTATTGTTATTAGTTCATCACTGAACGCAATATTAGCGATACCAGATTATTATTTCCTGTTAATATTGAATTGTCTTATTTTATTACCGTATTGGATATTATTTTTAATATTCATTTTAGTTGTCCAGACGGTAGATATATATATTGCTCTATGTTGTTATTCTTATTTTAGTCACCATTAATGTGGTAGAGAGAATGAACTTAATATAATTTAAATATTTCATTTTTGAGCTATTTTGAGGAAATATAAGAAACACAGTGTTCGTTAATTTTAAACATAGAAACAATGTCTTACTTAGGAAGAGCTCGTAAGGAAGATTTGCAAAATCTCGCGGCTGAACTGGGAGTTCATGTGACTGCAGATTTGAAAATAGTTGATTTAAAACAGAAAATTGTTGAAAGTAGAGATTATGATGAAGTCTTCGTCAAAGGAGTCTTAGACACAATAATAGAAGAACGGAAAGAGAGAGGAGGAAAGAGAAGAACGTAGGAGACAGGAAGAAGCAGAAGAGCGGAGAAGGAACGAACAGTATGAATTAGAGAGATTAAGACTTGAAGCAGAGACAAAGTCTCAAAATACCGGACAGATCCGGCCGAAAACGGAGCTGCGTCACCTTATGCAGAAATTCGATGACAAGAAAGGAGATATCAGTCTATATTTGCTATTGTTTGAAAGGCAAGCAGAATGGGCTAAAATTGATAAAGAAGAATTTGTATCTCATTTACTAGGACTACTTCCTTACGAAGTAACCCAGTTAATAGCTAGAGAACCCTCCGATAAAGCTAAAGACTATGAACACGTGAAAAATTTATTGTTAAGACGGTTTTAAACTAAGCCCGGAAAAGTTTAGGCAGAAATTTATGAAACATCAAAAAGTACCGAATCCACATGGGTGGATTTCAATTATGAAATAGAAAATTATTGCAAAGAATGGGTGACTGGTCTAGGAGTTAAGACTTTTGATCAGTTGCTAGATTTGATGGTGCTTGACCAACTTAAACGTCGAGTTCCTCCTGAAATTCGAGATCATTTTCTTGATGAATGGGTAGAGATGATTTCATCTAAAAAATTAGCTGAAAAACTTGATGCCTATGAAAACGTTTGCGGAAACTTTCAAAAAAGGCCTGTAGTGGATCGGCAGAAAGAAAGATACAATGCACTAACTCATGGTAAATTGAGTTCAGATAATAAAAATAAAACTGAAAAAAAAATTGTCATCAGGATTTAATTCGCAAAGCTGGTTTCATAGACCTAGAAGTCCACGTCCAGATGATAAATATGAAAAACGAAAACGCCACAATGCTATCAGTGTGGGTCCTATCAACATTTAAGACCCCAATGTCCAAAACTTAAGAATAGTACTGAATCTCCTGCTAATCTTAACAGAATTAGTGCAAAACCAGAGGATAAATTTCTATTACCTTATACTAGTATGGGTTACGTAAATGGTCATAAAATTCCTATATTAAGGGATTCAGGTGCTAGTATTGATATAGTTTGTCGCAAATACATCACGCCGGAAATGCTGACAGGTGAAAATGTGTGGGTGCAACAGCCATTAGATTTGAATCCAACCTGTTTACCATTGGCTGAGATCGAACTAAATTGCGATCTTGGGCGAGTAATAACTAAGGCTGCCATTATTAGAAATGAACTCGACAAAGGAAGGTATTTATTAGGCAATCGAACTTTTGCACTGTTGAATAAACAAAGAAAGGAACCTGATAATCATCCTCACCAGGTTAATGCCGTCTCTACTAGAGTTCAAAGGAAAAGAAAATAGCTGAAGAGAAGATCTTGGAAGCCGATGAAAGAAGAAAATAAAGCATCCAGAGATATCTTTGAAGAAGTTAAATCGCCGGAATTAAACGTGGAAGATTTTCACGAAAATTTGAAAAACGATGAAGAAATTAATACTGAGAATCATTTTGCAATGCAGCGTTATCATCATCTTTCGGCTTTTGATTTAATATCAAAGCCGCTACTAATAGACGAAGAAAACAATTGTCGAAAGCAAATGACAAATGAATATTATCCAAAAGGCACAGATGAACTGAGGAAATGCTTTGCTGTGAATTATAGCATGCCGAGCTTATAAACCTTCGAATTTTACAGAACTTTTCCCTTCGGTAAAAGTCTCTCCGTTAGGGGAGAGGTTGTAACAGCTTTACATATTATTAAAATCTTGTAGTTTAAATAATTTAAATAGATGAACATTAAGGTATTTGTTAATGGCAATATTTGAAACCAGACTCGAGTGCCACGTGCAACTCTCGCACGAAGAATGTAATTTATTTTTAAATGATAGAATATGTTTTCTCTTCTTGTTTGTATGTCGCCATTTTTTTTTAATGTTAAATAAAAGTTATTGCTGTGTTCCATCATTGGAGTTGCTTCATATTGCCAAAGAAGTATTACAGTCATAATTATTTTTTAATTTATTTTTAAATGTTAGAATATGTTTTCTCTTCTTGTTTGTATGTCGCCATTTTTTGAGTGTTAAATAAAAGTTATTGCTGTGTTTTATCATTGGAGTTGCTTCATTTCGCCAAAGAAGTATCACATGGCTCTCGCACGAGTGATGTATAGAATTTGATTTTTAAAAAAGTTTAAGTTTCTCTCTTGTAGAATTGTATGTAGCCGTTTTTTTTTTTTTTTTTTTTAACGTTCAATAAAATTTTTATGCTGTGTTTTGTTTTCAACCTGATGTCACAACCCAGGGTTTGCATAGCGGTTTCGGCCACTACACCACACATACATGTGTGTGTTTGTATAATGTATGGCTATTTTTCTAAAATCAAAAATGGAATAAAAAATACGGAAACAGCCACTCAAATTTATGAATACTTTTTCTTATCATCGAACTAATTTTTTTAAATATAGATGGTATTTGCTTATACCTTTTGAAATGGACGGAATCTGCCCATAAAGCTCATCTTACAAGCTTTCGCTAATCGACGATGAATAAGATCTTTCATTTCTATTGAACATTACAAAAGTGTGCTTCTGAGGACCAAAGTAAGTTGGATTATTTTATTGGGAAAAAATTAAGTTATGATGAAGTTTTATAGTAGCATATACATTACAAGCATTTTATTTAAGAAAAGAAGCGAGATATTTATGCGATTTTTTTAATCATATCAATATTTTGATGTTTAAAAATTTTAAATGGTAAACTCTTGCTCGAAATGTTATGCTGAAAATTAAAGTTTCCAAATCCCTTCACCCCCATTTCTGAGCATATAGAGAAATTTTTTCAACATTTTATCGGAATTAGTATTCTACTAGAAGTCTCATAACGTCATCAAAATACATCGAATACTTTTTGTTTCCTACCTACCTTTAAACAGATAATAAAGAAAATATCCTTCAGACCATGACTTTGCTAACTAATGTTACTAGTGAAGCTAAGACAAAATTGCTAATAAATGGCGTTTTATCTTCTATTCCTATTATTATAAATTGTATCCAGATGTTTTAATGTTCTAGATACTTGAATTCAGAATTCTGTTACTGTTATCATTATTTCTGGCAAAATTATATAAAAAATTTCAAAAGTTAAAGTTGGAGGTAAACATGTTTTCTGTACACATTCCTGGCTCTGAGAAAAAGCTTCTACGGCAGTATAAAAACTTACTGTATAGGATTTTTCATTTACATAATTTTACTGTTTTAAGAAAGCCTAAAAACTTTAAAAAATCATTCATGAATTTTCAGATGTCAGTTAAAGCAAGTAAAAGAATTCTGAATTTTTTTTTTAAAGAAAATTCCTATCTAGCAAATCTCAGCTATTTAATAAAGATCGTTCAAAGATGTTTGGTTAAAAAAACCTTAAACTGGGAACCTTGGGTTATTGACTAAAGAACATTCAGTCAAGTGTTACTTTATTATCTTAATGCTTTTTCAAGATAAATTAGTATTTTAAAAGCACTAAGAATCTAGATTTAGATGCAACTTTTGTGCAATAAGAAACTTGGGATGTCTGTATTTTTAATTAGGGTTTTAATGTTTCACGAAATTGAGGAAAAATTATACAATTATTTCTTTATTTAATCACTCAAAACGATTGTTTTCTTTGTTGTCACCAACAGGGGGCGCTGTGGATGTCATAAATATTTTCGGTTTTGTTCACCGTTGTCACGTCTCGCGCCGGAGAACAAGGATTAAAAGAGCAGCGGAATTATCTTCAAGTCACTTGCAGTAAATGATCATCTAATACGTAAAAGGTATGTTTTCATTTCATGTATTAAAATTTTTTTTTGAAAATATAAATCAAAGGCAGCGTTTATTTATACGTTATTGTGAAGTTAGATTCTAATCTCTTGTGCGACTAAAAGATCATAAATTCGATATCAGGTGAGGGAAAAAAGATCGTTTTGAGAAAAGATATCTTACAAGATACAAATTATAATAGTTTTAAATTGTTGATGAATGCTTCCAAGAAAGTAATACTAGCATTATTAACAGTAGCTTTTCATCGGGAATTTTATCTCTTAATATTTTATTCTAGAATAGTTATAAATATTTTCGTTATTCCAAATAAATTTATTTATTCTATTCTTGATAAATTAATTCATTAGGAAAATAATTAGTTTTCGGATTAGTACAAATTATTATAAGGTGGCCCTAAAAGCTATAAAAATACTAATTTTGGGGGATGGATTAAAATATTTTATATGTACAATGGCTCCCAATCGTGTTCGTGCACTTGTAGAAAGAGTGTGCAGTTTGTAGAAAAAGCGCTGTAGCGAAAAATTGAATTCGAATATAAAACCCAATATTTTTTCATATCATCTCCATTTTTAAATAAAACTTAACTTTTTTTTACTATTGATTATTTTCTTTTTCTAAAATTGGAAAAAATAAGGGGGCATAGGTAAAACACGCCACAAAAATGATCGTACACCGGAACATTTTCGAGAAATTTCATAAATAAAATTATAGTCTACTACTATTTTTTTTAGTCCAAAGGGACTTGAGTCCCGAAGGACTATTACTTTCGTTTTGGCATTTTGCGTCGGACGGATAAATGTCGGTTCACTTTTCAAACTGTTGCCATAAAATGTTAGAGTCCTGCATTATATTTGAAGAAATTAAATAATGAAAAATCTGCATAAATGTATGTATATTTCTCGTATTGTGATAAAACAACGGTACATAGAGTCATCGAATTTTGAATAACGTAATCCTCCAACGAATATGAGCATGTGGAAGACCAAATTTGAAATTTGAAATTTGTTTTATGATCGATTTCCTATTTTTTAAAACTTTGACGAATTTTTGATTAACAAACTCAAGGATTTCAAAGCGAGCAATGGCAACGTTGTGCAGAAAAAACATTTTTATCTCCAGCGCGTGAGTCTCTGTATCGGAAATTCTAAAGATATGCTCGTTTTAAAACTATTTTGCGATATTGCTGTTGCACTGGATCTTATGGTTTAAGTGCGAGGAACATGATATTTAATAAAGAAAGGTAACACACAAAATGTTAAAAAACGCCCCTTTGGACGTAATTTAAAATCTGAAACATTTCAGATTTTTTTTTTTTTTTTAAATTTTTTTTCCCATTTTGATGATTAAAAATTCACTTGGCCTTTTTTTTTTTTTTTTTTTGCTTGCTTACTTGGTTACATTTTCTTAGTCCAAACAGGCTTTGTCCCTGAGGGACTATTGTTTTCGTTTCGCGATTTTGCGTCGAATCACTCTGAACGTCCGTTTCATTTTTCAAACTGTTGCCACCAAATATTATCCCCCTGTACTATATTCGAAGAAATTAAAGAATCTGCATAAATGTATATATGTTTCTCGCATTGTGATAAAACAACGGTACTTAGAGGCATCGAAATTTGAATAACGTCGTCTTCCGTTCTAATATGGGCATCCGTAAGCCCAAATTTGGAATTTGTTTTATTATCGATTTTATATTTTGTATAACTTTAAAACGAATTTTTGATTAATAAACTCAACGATTTCAAAGCGAATAAAGGCAATGGAAAACAAAATCTGAAAGGTTTCAGATTTTAAATTAGGTCTAAAGGGGCGTTTTTTTAACGTTTTGTGTTGCCTGTATTTATTAAAAAATCATGTTCTTTGCACTTAAATCATAAAATTCAATTTAACAGAAATATCGCAAAATAATTTTAAAATGAGCATGTTTTTAGAATTTCCGATACACAGTCTCGCGCGCTGGAGATATTTTTTTTTTTTTTTTCCCGTGCAGTGTGGCCATTGGTTGCTTTGAAATTGTTGAGTTATTTAATGAAAAAAGTGTCAAAAAATATAAAATCGATAATAAACAAATTCCAAATTTGGGCTTCCAGATGCCCATATTCGGTGGAAGATTACATCATTCAAAATTTTATGGCTCTAAATCCCGTCGTTTTATCGCAATGCGAGAAACATGCATACATTACGCAGATTCTTCATTATTTAATTTATTTAACTGTAATACAGGGCTCTAATATTTGGTGGCAACAATTTAAATAGGCATTCGCTGTTTATAGTGAATCAACGCAAAATGCCGAAACTAAATTAATAGCTCTTCTGGGCCAATTACTTCTTTGGGATAAAAACTGAAAGGTTTCAGAATTTATATTACTCCCAAAGGGGCGTTTGTTAACAGTTTGAGTGTTACCGTTACTTATTAAATATCATGCTCTTCGCATTTAAACCATAAAAGTCAATTCAATAGCAATATCCCGAAGTATTTAAAAAAGCATAACTTCAGAATTTCCGATGCGCAGTCTCGCGTGGTGGAGATTTTTTTTTTTTTTTTTTTTTTTTTTTGTCATACAGTTTTCTTATTGCTCGCTTTGAAATCGTTGAATTTATTAATCAAAAAGTCTTTAATGTTTGACAAAATATGAAATAGATAATCAGTTTCAAGTTCTGGCTTCCGGATGCTCATATTTTAATGGAGGACTACTTTATTCAAAATTTGATATCTCTAGGTACCGTTATTTTTTCACAATGCGAGAAACATACATACATTCATGCAGATTCTTCTCTATTTAAAATGTAATGCAGGGCTCTAATATTTGGAGGCAACAAAAAGCGAACCGACATTTATAGTGAAGCGACGCAATAACCAACTAACAGACACATACCGACGCAAAATGCCAACTCGAAATTAATAGCCCTTATAACCAAATTGCCCCTTTGGGCCAATAAATAAACAACAAATACTGTGTTCAAAAATAACCATGACGCGCTACAGGAAAAGGTATTAATAGTTGAGAAAATTGTACACTGATACTATGCTAGAATACATCACTCATGATACCTTCATTACGACAATAGTGGAGTTAAGCAGGGGGAAGAATAAATTCCAAATACGTAATTAAACAATGATTGCTTAATAAAACAATTGCATATTAGAATAAAGGTAACAGGGAGGCTTACCTTGTTATTATTGCTCCTTTTCGATACTCAGAATTAATAGTTATGTTGTAAACTACTGAGAACGTAAACAACGCAATGCAAAACGCATCTGAAGAAAAAGGCTAACTCGGATATAGTATTTAAATTCACGCGAAACTAATCCCGAGTCGTTAGTTCCGCCTGAACTGAGATACCATCACAAACAACAGTAACTAAGCAGCTAAGAGTAAATGCTTTCTATTCGGTCTTAAATAGTTTTCAAACTGACGGAGATACTTCTAATACGTGCCGCTTCTCGAAATTACTGGAAAGCAATACGAGGGGAGTAATTACGGTTACCGCTAACATAGTGGTCAGTTACATTTATTCAGTTTCGATACGAATTACGGTGACACAGATGGGATCAAAATGTCGCCAAATGGTCACCAAATTTAGTGACTTTTGGTGATTTCCCGTCAAATTACCCAGACATCCAGAGTCGTAGCTAGGGTTTTCAGCGCCCAGGGACAACTGAAGATTTCGCGCACACTACTGCTTGCCAAGGATTGAAAACATTTAATTCTAAAATGTCGTAACAGTAGTTTGGCGCCCTTGGATTGTGCGCCCGGGGACAGATGTCCCCCCTTTCCCCCCTCTAGCTACGCCCCTGCAGACATCTGTTTACTCAATGTTAAATGCTCTTGCCCCTGTTTCCTTACTTTTTCTGCATAGCTTCTGTTCAGTTGGTGTCCCCCTTCTTTCCCTTTGTCACAAAGAAATACAACAATTTTACTTACACTCCTACTAAAATTACCTATCTAAGTACAAAATTCGCAGCAATAATTTAAAGAATAATAAATATAGTGAATAAGTAACTGCAAGTGTAGCTACTTGACGGAGCCGCTATTCAACAAGTTTACGTTGGTGTCCGCCGATAACATCGCGGCAAAAACATCGCGGACGAAAACGTCGGGGAGAAAACAACGCAAGGCGAAAACATCGTGCTACAAAACATCGTGGGAGAAATCATCGCAAAGAGAAAACATCGCAGTCCTAAAACATCGTGGTACAAAACATCGTCGTCGAAAATTAAGCGGTTCAAAAAGTTCGCAGTTTAAAAACATCGTCGTCGAAAATATCGTGGTAAAAAATAAAGTATCTACAAATCATCGCATGACGATAACATCGCAGACATGCTTTTTGCATACATGCTTTAATAACTGTAAATGAATATTCCCATAAAGATTTGTGAGCGCAAAATGTAAAGAAGGATAATTTTTACTTTCACATTTTTTATTAACTAATAAATTTTTTCTGAAAAAGTAAGAAGGAAACTTAAGCATAGAAAATTAAATGCAACTTATAGATTATACTTTTCACGAAAAATTACCAGTAAAAACTTTATAAAAAATTATTTATTAATGGCCTTTGTTAGTTAAATATGTCGGTTTAAAATTCTATTAATTGCTATAAGTTGCATTAATTTGCTATGCTTAAGTTTCCTTCTTACTTTTTCAGAAAAAATTTATTAGTTAATAAAAAAATGTGAAAGTAAAAATTATCCTTCTTTCCATTTTGAGCTCACAAATCATTATGGGAATATCCATTTACAGTTAACGCATGTTTGCGAAAAGCATGTATGAAAAAAGCATGTCTGCAATGTTATCGTCAAGCGATGATTTGTAGATACTTTATTTTTTACCACTATATTTTCGACGACGATGTTTTTAAACTGCGAAGTTTTTGAACCGCTTTATTTTCGACGACGATGTTTTGTACCACGATGTTTTCGAACTGCGATGTTTTCTCTTTGCGATGTTTTCTTCCACGATGTTTTGTAGTACGACGTTTTCGCCTTGCGTTGTTT